TTACTGGTCACAGGTTCACTGATCATAACTGATGAAATTCATTTTGCTGCAGGCAAATGTTGAATGCAGCTAAACCCGACTAACTTTGCCCGCAGAGCTGTCGACATTCGCGGAGGAATCGGGAGGACAGTCAAGTTCCACGGCACATACTGCAGTGATATCGGGTGCAGGAGTGATATTGGGTGACCTGATATGTTTTCAAATTTCTGCTTATTGCACCACACGAGGATTGTTAATAAAGGTGAGAAAGCAAGTGGACGCCGGAGTTTGCATCTCTACTTCATGATGAAGGGACTTTTTCAGCTCTACTAGACAGTTTCGGTGCGCGCAGCGTGAGAATGCTGTCACATTGATTGTCAGAGAACGATTTATCGCAGGTAGCATTTTGTGAGGCACAAGTTCGTCTAAGGTCTTTGTCTGCTCTAGTCAAATTTTATGTCAATGAATGAAAATATTGATGTGAGGACAAATCAATGATACAATATTTCATTTATTGAAGTCTTATTTAGGGCAAATGATGAGATATTTCTGTCAATTTAAAATCAGCATTATTTTGATCGAAGTGCTCAGATGAATTTGAAGTATGAATTTACTTTATGTACCAAATTTATTCATAGAATTTCATGTCATATATTTGCATAGAAGTGTTATCTTACTTACCTTCAACTTCAACTTTCTTACTTACTTCTTCAGGGGAGTCAGCCAGTGCATCTAGCCAACTGCTGTGCCACTAGTCAACTGCTGTGTCTAATTAACTGCTGTGAAACAAGTCTACTGCTGTGTCTAGCCTACTGCCGTGCCACAAATCTACTGCTGTGCCACAAGTCTACTGCTGTGTCTAGTCTACTGCTGTGTCTTGCATTACGTTTTACCCAAAAAATGTTATGTAGTTAGAATGTTTATATGCACTTAAGGTTCTAATAAACGGCCCGAACATGTAAATCGTTTTATTTGTAGTACTTGTGTTGGTTTAATTTGTTATACTTGTTCCTAATTCATATCTCAGAATGGCTGCATTAAAATTCGCTTTATAATTTTGTCGGTGTACGTTGTTATATAATTCCCCATGCTCTCCACAATTATTATATACAGCTCCACAAAGTAAAAAAGGGAGCTATATATATAGTGGAGGGCGTGGGGATTTTTGTTTTGTCTCGAAATTGGGACAGGACATTTGGCTCGAATTTGGGATAGACTGACTGCGGCAGCAGGCCCTTTCTAGACCGAGAAGTTCTGCCGCAATATTGCGCTGCTTTGGACATTCCTGCGCTGTTGATCCCCTGGCGTTGCGCTGGGGCGAGCGTTGGTGCAGGCAAGTTCACCCGCGGCTGGCTTCCGGACTGCTGCGATTTCTGACTGGGGTGGAATCTAGTCCATCACTTCTAGTCACTATTTTTCTCTAGCCTAATCTTAAGTCTTTTGCGTAGGAAAGATACCGGGGCAACTTTATTAGAAATTTAGACCTAAAATTAAAATAATTATCTGTCTGTATATTAAATTTCACTATCCAAGTCGAATGGATAACCGAATTTTTACTCGTATCCTCTGCGTAAAAAGGATACTCTGGTGACAAGAAAATTACCCGGAAAGCACATGTTTCAAGCAGGACAATGTAGAGATTAGTAATAGTAGGAAGCTCAACGCCGCGCAACCCAACCGGTATGAACGTGTGCTATGAACGTGTGCTTACTGGACTCGCGCGCTGCGCTTGATGCCTAGCCGCTGTGCTTTATTAAGCGCCCCATACACTAGCGTATCTGACTCGCGAGTCCGGCTAGCTGATGCCGACTATCGGATCTGATCTGGCGGTATTTCTCCATACACCTACGTACTTTGCTCGCAGCGTCCAGTCGTGAAGATGAGTCATCCGAGGCAAGTTGCCGCTGCTGCCACCGTTTTGAGTGAACTCGGGGGAGTGAAAAAGCACCGGAGGAAACGATCTATGTGGTCGAAAGAATGGCTTGTCAATCGACAAAGATTCAGCCATATAAATTTGCTAAATTTCATTCGCAACGATAGCCGAAAGGACTATCTAAACTAAGGATGTCTGCAGAAAACTTCAACGTCCTATTGGACAAAGTCAAACCCTTCATAGCTAAACGAGACACTGTACTTCGGAAAGCTATAACAGCAGAGGAACGGCTAATTGCTACTCTACGTTTTTTAGCCACCGGACGGTCGTTCGACTGTCTCTTATACACATCTAGATGTGTATAAGAGACAGGTATTAGGGCTAGAACCCCTAGTCTCTGCGGTTCGTTGTCGGCATCTCGGTGCGGTTAGTTCCCGTACCATTTGCTGTACGTTTTTGTGATTTTGCAGTGTATTAGGGCTAGAACCCCTAGTATCTGCGGTTCGTTACCGGCATCTCGGTGTGGTTAGTTCCCGTACCATTTGCGGTACGTATTTTGTGATGTGGCATTGTATTAGGGCTAGAACCCCTAGTCTCTGCGGTTCGTTGTCGGCATCTCGGTGAAGTTAGTTCCTGTACCATTTGCAATTCGTTTGTGATTTCGTGGTGTATTAGGGCTAGAACCCCTAGTCTCTGCGGCTGATCTTTGGCATCTCAGTGCGGTTAGTTCCCGTACCATTTGCTATCCATTTTGTTATTCGCAGCTGTGTATTAGGGCTCATACTGTGTGGTTGCTCAGCTGTTTGTACCCCTGAAATGTCAAGACTTTTTCCGCGAACTTTTGGATTAAGACGAATAATAAATTTTGCGCCTCGTATGAAGAAACTATTATTTGCCTGAAGATTAACAGTATACTACGAAAAGTTCATCGTGTTCATTACTCCTTTCTACAACGCAAGGGAGTTTAGAGCCGGACCAAAGAGCGACTCTTTAGCCCTTGTGTTTCTGACCAGTACGAAAGTCTACACTAAGTCAGCACGCTACCCATAAATATTTCAACTTCGCGGCGGTGTTTCCGGTTACACTTGGAAGAAGCCCCTGATGAAGAAATCATCAAAATAGAGGACAGAGCAGAATTTGATGGAGATGTGTGAGTGAATAATATTAATTATATATCATTTATTATTATATTTCATACCCAGTCAATCACCAATGTGGGCAACAATGTCGATTAGTGTGGGTTACTGCATATCGCGGAAGATCCGACCACTCGAAGATTTGGAAGTCGAATTTCCCTGAATAATCTATGCAGATGCATGGCGAACTATCGACTGTGGGTTTATCATTGCAGATCGAAGTATCTGAGTGTTTGCAACTTTACAGAGCAAACCAAAAAATTCATGCGCAAACATGTCGGTTGGCTATTCAATCTAATAGAATAATGAATCGAAATTGATATGCACTTTAATTTATGATTACCCAGTTAAAATTGTGTTCAATCTAGTTCAAGTGATAGAATGCGCTATTTCGGGTCCATTTCTGATGTCAGTTACGATTATTATACCATGTAATAATTTTAATACTTTGAAATACGTAAGTGTTTTACTAGCTTTCCCAGTTTGAACGCTTTCGCAAAGAGGAACGTTTGAGCTTCAATGTTGCCTTAACCTTAGTAATGTTCAGGAGATATCGATTAGTTTGCCTTAAAAATTTTTCCTAACGTGAGTGAAAAGAAAACGTTTTTTACATGCATGATATAAATCTCCTGCTATCGACTAAAAGTCGTATGAATAAACTGCTTCAGAGCTTAGCAATATTTTTATTTGAAAAGTTCCCATCATAAATTTCTCAAAGTTCATATTCAAAACATTTTCATACAGCTGCTTTAGCGTATTCCATTAATCATGACAAATTTGCATCAATTTTTTAACGAGGCTGATTTGAGGTAATAGAAATATAGAGATATCCATTTCGATGTAAATTATTCGGCTCCATTATAAAATTTATGTTAAATAGAGAACTAGGAAATAAATTGAGGAAATATGGAAGTAATAGCATTTCGATTGCCAGAAAATCACAAAAAGTAACAAGAAAAACAGTGCTTGTCTCCTTTACAATACGAGTAATATTATTTTTTCGATTGAATAGAAACTGCGTTCATTCCTCTAAAATATATATAAATGAATCATCTTTAAACAGATCCACCACAAATGTGGCTCTGGTCAATCAAGGGCTCACTGTGGGCAAGAAAGCATGTCCAGTAGAAGTTCTAATACAGAGCAATGGCCTACTGTGTTCAAGATTCCACACCAGAGCTGTCCGCCTGCTCTAAGCCAAGCTTTAGAGAGTAAACAAACACTTCTGGCCTGGCTGCACATCAGTGAATTCTTGACCAGTATTTGTATGAGGCAGTGACATATTTTACTATGTAAGTAACTTTACACATTAGTAAAATATTTATTTTGTTAACACCTTCAAGTCATACATGAAAGATTTGCTTCTGGAAACTACAGTATAATTGATTGAATTCGTTTTAAGATGAATTTTCTGTTAATCGCAGCGATATGTCAGAACACTTTATTAAATTTTGTTATCTATTTTATTTTGGTGTAACCAGAGTTGGCAATTCTTTCGCCTCCTATGTAGGGTCCGCCATATTTATGGCAACGTATTTTTTCTTGTTTCTCAATGAAATAAACAGGTGAAATATTTTTTTTGGTTCGATGAGCTAATAGCCAAGAACTGCCGAAACAATTCTCAGATATATTTATTCAATATGACCACCCTTATTTTTTATGACGCCTCCAACCTACGCTAGAAAGCTTCACAGGAGACACGCAGCATTTCTTGAGGGATCAAGTCCCATTCTTGTTTCAATTTAGGCTTCAAACTATCCAAAGAATCATGAGGGGTTCTGCAGACCCTACTCTCTAAAATAGCCCACACAGAGAAGTCAAGAGGATTCAAATCAGGGCTTCTTGAGGGCCATTCATTTTTGCTAGAGAACGCTGGGATGTGACCCTGAATCCAGTTTTGAGACATGTTTGAACCTTGTGATGTGACCATATCCTTGCTGCTTAAGTGACATACTTATTCCAACGTGCAGGTCTCTCACTCCGTGGCAGTACAAGTCTGTCAATGTGGCTCTGCTGTCGATGTATCCTCCTCACCTTGACAATGGACTGTCTCACGGTGATGCTGAAGTGAGTTGTATTGCATCATTAATTATAAGCTTGCCTACCGTTTGATTTCATTGTGAGGTAACTAGTACGTCTTTTGGATCTGCAGTGAGTGTTTATGCATGCAACTGTCTGGAGGCTTAGTACATTTCAACAGAATTTCTTCGATCGTGCAGCAGTCAAATAGAAATGATTTGTTAAAACTGCATTGGTTGAATTACTTATGGTGGAAATTTCGTCCACTGTTCAATACGTATTCTTTCATTCAACTATTCATGTATTGGCTGCTTTCTTCAAGATATCGTGTATTTACCTTGATATGTTCTTATAAAATTAATAAGCCTACTATTTTTCGCATTTCATTTATCTTGCCTAGCATTTCTTCAGTACCTTGATAGCTCATAATTAAGACCATTCATCGGCCATTAAAACATATTTTGAAAAATAATTGTAATTTATTTGATACTATTTGGTGATTGGCTTGAACGATATGGCAGAAACTCATTTTTAATTAAACCATAAATTATCAAAAGAGTCAGCGGGATGGTTGGGCGAAAAAAATCCTGGGTGTTTTGCAGCCTTCGCCACAATAATGCTTGATGCTAATTCATTTTTCACCTTTGAAAGTTCAATGCTCGATTTTTTTCAACAGAATATAAATTGAATGGGGTGGCTATGTCCTTGCTCCCTAAACTGATGAGGGAGCCTTCATTTTCAATCTACCTCACTTGCCCTGCCGGTAAGAATCCTTGACGAATATATGTTGGATCTTTAAGGGTGAAAATAGTAAAATAGAAAATAGTAAAAAAATAGTAAAATAGAAAATAGTAAGGTATTTTTTATACCTTACTATTTTCAGCACTGAGAAGAATAAAATTTTCTCGATTGTGAAGTGCTATTAATACTTAGGGCATTGTAGAATGTCCATTAATACATTGTACTAATTACGCTTATCTGAAAAAAAAACGATTTTATCACATTTATTTTTCTGCAGAAATGTGGGAAGAAGCCAATGCTGATTCTCAATGAAGTTGATGTACGGTCACAGGGCAAGTTATAGCAGAAGACGTGGCTCTGTGTGAGGTATGTAGCTACTTGTAGGGTTCATGCGTTCTCTGGGCTTCCTGCTATGCCTTCAATAAACATTAAAACAAAAAGCATAGAAATACATAAAATTTCATTCAAAAAGTTGGGTTGGAAGGAAAAAGCCACCTTTCATTATGGCAATTCTAAAAAAAATTATTGAAAAGTGTAACTAGATTCAAGTGACCCGGGACCAATGCCAAACACTGCCATAAACACATTGTCTTAATTTTTAGTGACGATAGTTTATTATTTGCCGACGTAGTTGGGTTTTTCGCTTCCTAATATTTCTGCAAGGTTTGTTTGTAATATTTCATATTTGTCTTATTTCATGTTTGTCTTATTTTATGTTCGTCTTATTTTATGTTCGTTCTATTTTATCCTTGTCTTATTATCTGTTTCTCTCATTTTATGTTTTTCTTATTTTATGTTTGACTAATATTAAGTTTATATTATTTTACTTTTGTCTAATTTTTTTATCTTATTTCATGTTTGTCATATTTTATATTTGTCTTTTCATGTTTGCCTTATCTTATATATGTCTTTTTTGTTTGTCTTATCATATGTTTGACCTGTTTTATTTTTGTCTTATTTTATATTCGTCTTATTTTATGTTTGTATTCGTTTGTTGAATAGGGGACGCAATTCTTCTAATTAAGAGTTCGTTTGTAAAATATTGGACGCAATTCTCATAATGAAGTATTCGTTTGTTGAATAGTGGAAGCAATTATTATAGTGAAGTGTTCTAATAAAATGACGTATTTCCTGCGTGTTTTATTCTTAACCTATTCGCTTTTCATTATATTTGTTGTTCTAATTCACCATACACCTCTTGTAAGTTCACTGAGGCTTCATCTATTGAGCGCTCATGTTTACGCGCTAATAGTAACTTGAATTACGCGCCAATAGTAGCTTGAATTTAGCGCTAATAGTAGCTTGAAATACGCACTCCGGCTGCCTGAGTGACTTTTTACGCGCCTGTGTCAACTCATTTTGGGACAAGACGGGATAGACACTTTGGTGCGTAGTGTTAACGCAGCGATTTGTTTCAGTGTATAAAGCACGAAGTAATGTTTATTACGCAATAGTGTACAAATAAGTAGTACTTAGAGTTGGAGCAATGATGTATCTATTGACGGTTCGACGACAATTTACTGACACGTGCGTTGTGACGTAGTTCATAAGATAAAATTCGTAAGCCACTCGTGCCTGAAATTTCGCCTTCTCCTTCGGTCAATGCGGCTTGCTCGATTGACCTCGTGTGTCTCTCTGACGAACCAGTCAATTACCGAACCTCGTGCGCCAGAAATTTCATGCTGAAACTAATAAGTTGCTGACGTTATCATGCTACGCCTATCATCTAACCATCGTTCCATACATAGAATCATCCCCTACCAAGACCAAAAATTAATTTTGACTTTGACAAAGTTTGACTTTGAAATTAAATTGACGCTTATAGTATTTAATTTGAGTACTTTCATAAGGATATCCACGACTTCTTCAAAGCCAGAAGAAGAAGAAGAAGAAGAAAGTAAATCGTAGTATGGTTTAGATTATGTACAACTGTAATGTTAATGTATTTATGTTCTCTTGTGATGTGATTTGATACTAAATTATAATAATGAATTGAGTTTACTTCTACATATATCAGATCTCACCTGAATATTTCTTTCTGTGTAGGGATCTTGTCTCGTTGAAGCCAATACCGATCCCGTTGCACCTGTGCTCAGTTATATAGATTTCTTTCAGATTCATAATTACATTTTAACCGACATTCTTGTTTATCGTTCTTCAAATAAATTATTCATAAGGCAATATCTATTTACCAATTATATTATTTCGATGAGATTGTATTTAATTGAGGCTAGATAGTTACTCTCTGCATTCGAATATTTGAATTTACATTGTATAATATTTTCTAGCGTAGGTTCCGTATTTAATATGTAGATTCTTCAAGTGCGATTTCCTCCTCCAATATTAATAAATTGGAAAATTCATAGGATTATAGATATATTTAATGATTTATTTCCAACGATCGGTCATTATTAGCCGGACAGGATTGGTAAATTTACCGGACAGGGTGCGCAGTTCAGTTCCTAATTATTGCGGTGTGTCTGTGTTCAGTGCATTTCCTCCTTATGCAGATCATGCAAGATGGCTACTACAGGATCAACTGGTGGCTCTCCTGCAACGGCAGTCAATTTGAGAGACAAAACACTTAGAACTTGTCTATGCAATGTATTCGCAAACTTGCATCTTAGTCCCATGGTCATGGGAGCTATTGTGAAGACAGAGTCTCAAGACAAGGAGGATCATGAGACTTACAGAATGTATCTGGATCGTCTACGAACAAACAAAAATGAACCGACTTTTTCCAATACAGAATTGAAGAAAGAATTCGGATACAACTCAGAGAGTTTAAAAAAAGAGAGGAACCCTGACATGTTAGATCTCACTGCCATCTTTTGTTTGCTTTCCCACATTTTAACCAAAGTTAAGAAGTACGATTCAGTCATGCTTGAAGTTCTCTTTAGCAAGTTGAGTGACGTCAAAGATATGCGAAACAAAGTCTTACACAACCTGGATCAACTTCTGAACGAGAAAAATTTCACTGATCTGACAACAACGCTGTTTGATCTCATAGAAGAAGCTAAGAGATTCTATTCTTCCTCCCTGGGCCCTGAGGTTCTATATTTTCCCGCTGAAGATACCAAGCAAAAGCTTAGCGACGAAATTACAAAGCTTGAAGACCTGGACAAAAGTGACATTCATTACTATATTTCGAGGTTGGTTATGAGCGGGAAACCAGCGGTAAGTAAGTTATGGGGAACCAGGCTACACTGCGAGATTCTCCTGCTCAACAACGACAAGGTTCATCGTCAGAAAGTGTTTCACGCTCTCGACGTGATGGTGAAAACATCAGACAGCAATGAAATCCTCTCTTACACAAAAATTTTTGAAGCTCCAGAGAATGTCGTTGTGGTAGCAGGCGCCGCCGGCGCAGGCAAGACAACCCTCGTCAAAAACATCGTACTGCAATTCTTTGACCCGCAACAGAGGTCTGCCGATCACTTGAGCTCTTTTAATCAACTTGTCTTCTTCGAGTGCAGGGATCGCAGCACAGAAAAACTGAGTGACGTCATCGATAAACACTACGAAGACCTGTGCAGTGAACTAGGAAAAGAAAATGTCCTTAAGGCTCTCCTGCGTATCGATGTCTTATTCATCATCGATGGCTTCGACGAAGTCAACAAAAATTCTGCTAAAGTCGTTAATGGCCGCATGCAAGCATAGAGTTGAGATCAACTGATGAGTATCTTGGATGAATATTTCAAACCTGTATTGATTTAGGCGTTTATGTTTAATGAATGTTGGACCCGAATTGTCGAGTTTCAAATTATGTTAGCTATAATCTCTCTTAATGTGCTAATATAAGGTGCTTCTCCCCCACCTTCGCTCGGCCTCCCCCATTTCCCGGCTAACTAACCACTCCCATACGCCACACTATTACTTACTATTGTATTTACCCTCCTACTTACTATGGTATTTACCTTTCTACCTACCATTATATTCACCCTCTTACTTAATATTTTATTTACCCTTCTACGTACAATTGTATTTGCCCTCCTAGTTATAATTGTATTTACCCTCCTACTTACTAATGTATTTACCATCCTACTTACTACGGTATTTACCCTCCTACCTACCATTATATTTACCCTCTTACTTAATATTTTATTTACCCTCCTACTTATAATTGTATTTACCCTCCTACTTACGATTGTATTTACCCTCCTTCGTAACATTGTTTTTACCCTACTACTTACTGTAGATCCTGCAACATATATTGCAGGATCTACAGTAATATTGCATGATCTGCAACATGTAGATCCTCAATTACCATAGTATTTAGCCTACTACTTACTATTGTATTTAAGCTTCTCCTTACTATTGTAGTTACCATCCTGCTTACCATTGTGTTTACTTTCCAACTTACTATTGTATTTTCATTACTACTTACAATCGTATTTACCCTCCTAATTACTATTTTATTTACTCTCCTATTTATAATTGACTCTCTCGTAGACTTTATGAACAAGGATGCGGAGTGATTGCCTTCTCTTGGAGAGGATCCTACCGTCCAGCCTAGTTCTGGATGATTAAAATCACCAACAATCAACGTGTGTGACCAACGGAAAGTCATGTTCGGTAAAAGACTGTTAACTGTCTTTATCGTTAACAGACGAACTGTTTGGTGATCTGTACGCGACGCCTATGAGGAAGCTATCATTGCCTATGAGAGAAAGTTCGCACCACCCTGATTCTCTAGCTGAATGGTGCTCCTTAGACAACTTCACATTCTAAGCCCCTATAAAAGGTTTTGACCCACAACGCTACACCTCTGCTGCACTGCTCTTCGCCTATGTTGTGAAAACAATCATAACCTGGCAACTGAAACTCAACTGGTATAATATTCCCACCGTTATTTTTAGGCAGTGTTTCTGTAATATAAATAATGTCTGGGCACTCGCTCTCCATCACCGATAGAAGTTCACGTATTTTATTCAAAGCAGAGTCGGAGTTCGTGTAAAAACATTTTAAAGTATTTTGTCATGAGGTTCTGCTGCACACTTTCCCTAACTTTTTTTCATAAACCTGCATTATTCAAGATGAAAACAGTTTTACTATCCGCTTGATTCTTTCTATTCAAACTCTCTTCTACTGACTTCACTGAAATTCGGTCATTCACTGACACGGTCCACAAAAAAGAAATGCAAAAAGAACTCCGAAAAGGAACGGTAAAATTTAAAAGTTGGGGACCACAAACACGTGTATCCGTTCTCGATCACAGCTCGAACGTGCTTATGATAGTAGTATAATACTTATATATTAAGTATATATACTCACTTAAAGAACTATCGTATAAACCCTCCTTCTTACTATTGTATTCACCCTCCCTACTTAATATTGTATTTTCAATCTGACTTAGTATGAGCTGTCATGAGTTGCGAGCCTCGCTGATGACATGAGCTGCATGTCATTCTGATGGCATGAGCTGCATGCCGCTCTGATGGCATGAGCTGCAAGCTGCTCCGATGGCATGTGATTCATGTTGCTCTGATGGCAAGAGCTGCATGCCACTCTGTTGGCATGAGCTGCAAGCCGCTCTGATGGCATGAGCTGTATGCCACTCCGATGGCATGAGCTGCAAGCCGCTCTGATGGCAATTAGCTGCAAGCCTCTCTGATGGCATGAGCTGCAGGCCGCTCTAATGGCATGAGCTGCAAGCTGCTCCAATGGCATAAGCTGCATGCCGCTCCGATGGCGCGAGTTTCATGCCGCTCTAATTGCATGAGCTGCATGCCGCTCTGGTGGTACGAACTGCAAGCCGTTCTGATGGCATGAGCTGCATACCGCTCTGATGGCATAAGCTTAAATCCGTTCTGAAGGCATGAACTGTAAGCCCTTCAGATGGCATGAGCTGCAAGCCGCTCTGATGGCATGAGCTGCATGCCGCTCTAATGGTATGAGCTGGTATGACAATAAAGACAAACATGACTTGAGTGCAGCATGATCAATATTACCAGGAAACAGAAATGTCCATTGGAACAACGCGCCCAGTTCTTTTAACATAATACAATCGAAAATCAAAGCATTACAACTGTCGCTGCATTCAACGTACAGATCCGACTCCACTATTGAATCCCCAACCACATGTCTCTCACAGGCTGCGGGAGGTGCTGCTGTATGTGGTGCAGGCGCTGAGCAGGGATAGCCCACGCCACCTCAAACGGTGGTGGCCGCAGCTGAAGGAGGCGCTCCACGACGCCGGTGTCACCGACGCCCGCGATGTGACGGACTGCGTCGCGCGCTGCCCTGACGCTGGGATATTGGGCGAGCTCGCCGGGGGCAAGAATTGGGTCGTCGAGGATGGTGGGTGACGTACACCCATGTTGGGTGTGATGGGCGACGTTCATTAATTTGGGGTGTGGTGGGTGATGTTCACTCATTTTTGGTGAGGTGCGTGACATCCTCTCGTGTTGGGTGTGGTGGGTGATGTTCACTCGTTTTGCAGGTGGTGGGTGACGTTCGCTCGAGTTTGGTATGGTGGGTGACGTTCACTAGTGTTGAGTGTGGTGCGTGACGATCATTCGTGTTGGGTGCAGTGGGCGATGTTCACTCGTTTGGGTGTGGTGAAAGATGTTAACTCGTTTTGGGTGTGGTGGTGACAATACAATACAGTGCAATAAAATACAATATAGTGCAGTACAATACAATACTATACATTGCAGTACAATACAATGCAGTACAATACAACACAATACAAAACAATAAAATACAATACAGTGCAATACAACACAAATTACTGTAACCGCAGCTTCAGCACATAGCGCTTAGTTTTCGTTACTTAGTTAACTAGTTCTCTTTGCGCTGCTTGTACGCGATATTCTTGGTCCCGACGCCGGTCATTGCGGTGTGGAGCGGGTACGCTGATTATTGAGCTCATCGTTCAATGTAATTAGTCCTGTTAAATATCGCCGTGTAATTACGCTCTGTCACCTTTTATAGACCAATGTAAAATAATTACCAGCGGTAGCCTGTGACCTCTTTTTGATCCTGTAGTACAGATTGATAATGAAAATTTTTTTCCCCTTTTCTATTTCATTGGCTACTTGTATTAATTACACGCAGTGGTCAGTTCAACGTGAAGGCCATTGTTAGAAGAGTACGTAAGCACCCTAAACTGTTATTCAGCAGTTACAACAATACAATGCAGTACAATACAATACAATACGGTAAGCACCAGTCTGATACAGAACCTTTACCGCAATAAACTCAGGCTTCACTCAGGAGTCGCGGTTGCGCTGTGGCTCAAGGCGGACGTGCGTGTTGCGCGAGCTCGAAACTGCCTTTGGCACTATGCTTTTTTATAATATTTACGCATTTTGTGCTAATGTGTTTCAGGAAAAAGACTTAAGTGAAATTAGTGAATGAGAATGCGATTAAAGAGTGAAAGCGGAAAGCGAGTAACAAGTGACTCCGTTTTTCTTAATGAAAAACATGGGTAAACAAGTGAGTGAGGATAGAGTGTTGTGCGCATCGTAGCTTTTGGCCAAGCCTAAATTTCTCGAGCCCGGCTCCGTCGCCTCTAGCCTACCCCTCCCCCACTCTAGCTGTCTGTCACGTCGTACCATTCACGTCCCAGCCCACCCCGCCGCTTCCTCGTCAGCTGTTCCGTGGAATCGGTATTTTCGATGGACGTTTAACTCTACTCAACTTAATTCAGTTTTAAAGTTTTTCTAGGTTACTTTTCTAAGTTTTAAGAGATTTTTCCGTGCATTCTACGATGGCTGGACAGAGAAGAAAAGGGTAGTCGAAAAGCACTCTAGACACAAATAAAAATCAAATTAGCTCAGCTAGAGCCGAAAGTTTGCAAGTACTGCAAAGAGATCTTTGTGAGCGAGGTTGATAAGATGATCACCTGCGAACGTTGCGAAGATTTCAGTTATATCAGCTGTTCGAAGTTGAGCTCTGAGGAGTACTCATTACTCTAGAAAACTAAATTACTTCATTGGTTTTGTCGCGAATGCGGAAAACCAACTCTTGGTGCTGAAAAAACCGGAAGAACAGGGAATGAGTCGAAATCGTTGAATGATGTAGTAAACTCCTTGAGTGAGATGGTGCGCTCGTTGAGTGAAAGATTGAGCTTGCTATGCAATGAGCTTACTTAAGTGAATCCTTAGCTGAAAAATACAGAAAAATGAAAGTAAAGAACCAGAGAATAGATTTATCCGAAGTCACCAGCGAAAGCTCTCGTGAATTGCTTGACAGAGGCCGTAGGAAGTCTAATCTTGTGTCTTGTGTGGTTTAATATTCCGGAAAGTACCGCATCAGATACGAAGGTCCGAGTGATGACTGATACCGCATTTATTGCAGACCGCTGTAGTAAGGCACTCACCATACCGGTTGCCATTACATCGTGCAAGAGGCTACACTCGTGAAGGGCACTGCTGCCAACACCTCTGTTAGTGACTGGAAAGGATCCTGCACAGATTTGGAGCGTACTGAGGGCAGCAAGAAAACTAGGAAAATCCGCTGAGTTCAAGTCCGTTTTTGTGAAGGAGGATTGCACCCCTTTAGCCTTCTACCGTCTGATATAAGCTTCCTGAAAAAAATTTTTTCTTCTTTCTATCGTGTTACTGATGATGCAATAAGATCATATCTATATAACTTTTTCATTTTGACGCTTAGTGAAAAAATATATAACATGTCACCCAGGGGGAACATTGGTCACCAGAAGGCAGTAATATAAGTGTCACTCTTGAGGAACATCAGGCATACATACAAACATAAGGTATTATATTTTGATTTGAACTAGATTGTTATAATATGAGGATGGAAAAACAATCAGGTAATGACAAAAATGTACTGTACCAAGATTTTCTGACTTGAAACCGGTACATTTGTCCTTTTTGCACCTGTTTCTGTTTTTTTCTAAAACAGGAAAGTGGCCAATTTGGTCAAAACGTACAATGTTCTCGGGACCAGATCGAAGACGTTTGGGGGTTGAACTCTGACTTTCATATGGTGATGGCCTTCCACGCTTTGCTGGTCGTGCTTTACCCTTCGCTGTTAGTGCACTAGCAACCGTTAATTTGAAGTGAGCCAGAGGTAGAATGTCTTTTCTTTGAAGGTTCAAATCTTCAGCATCCCTTTTGTATAGTTTCCAGGCGTTTATTTTATCTTATATCCCCACTTATGCGGCTTACTTGGGATGTATTGCTTCAGTTGGCTTCTTCCTTTGAAGGGAACAAGTTGTTCATCAATGCATAGTTCTTGCTGCATTGTAATTTTCTGAAATTTTTGTCGAAGATGTTCAATCATTGGTTTTACTTTGAACATTTTATCACATTGATTTGCTATTTGGCTGTTGTCACTCATGTGGAAGTGAGTTTTAATTGCTTCAAATCTATTCCTGCTCATCACTGTGGGGGCCACAACCATGAAGTGATGAAGTTTACGGCACCAATACATTCGTGTGTCAGATACGTTCATTATAGAAAAATACATTACGAAGGCAATCCACTCTTCGAGCACATTCTCCGTAAGCCCCAAAGGTTTATTCACATTTTTTTTGCACAGAATAAAGGTTTGATTGTTCGACAACCAGTTCTAGAAACGAGTCAGTAATGATGGACTTGAAATATTCGTACGGATGTTGCACTTCATGACAGCAGGGTTCGGTCCCAGTTGGCAGCATGATACTCAGGTTCTTGAGTGCACCCACTGTCTTTATTGTACCACTGCGGGGTTAAAATATGCCTCCTTGTCCGTGTAGCTCTGGACGAGCCGGTGCTTTCATCAGCCTGTAGTTCCATAACTACAGTTTCATCGTTAGTAAATTCATCACTGGGCTCATAATCATGATCCTCGTCTTCAATATCTAATTCAATTTGTACAGGAGGAAAAGTTAGGTCCCCAACTTCTTCATCTTCTCCGTCACAATCGCTAGGACCATCACTGTCTCTAGCTGATTCTTGCATTTTCATTGCAGTTTTTCGCCCATAGAATGAATTTGGTTGAAAAATATCTGGAAATAAAGAGAAAGTGAAAATTTGAATTGATTTCGAGAATTCGGATTATATGTTGATTATGTACATCCAATGAAAGTATTTCATGGAATTATAATCAAAAACTCAATGCATTTTATCGTTCAAAAACTATGTAGTCACCTGATTACGCGTGCATATATAATATTGTACCATGCAGTTTTTCATAAATGTCACATGATACAATCACCTGACGGTTGTTCCTCCTCAGTGACAGACAATAAATGCAGTGGAGAGCCTGATGTTCCCTCTTAGTGACAAACAATGAATCATACAAAAAATGTTTATTGTAAAGTTAAAAGAGAAACCGAATACATCAAACATGACCTAGATTCATGAGAACAGCTTACAAAAATTCGCAGCATCATAACTCACCATTGTTTTCGTCCATGATTAGGTAAAGATGGCAAACCGGAGAATAATTGTCACACCTCCGACCCTTGAAACGTATAACTATCCACTGAGCGCAAAACCACTTCCATTGACGGTTGCTGCCGTGTACGACAACTTTAACATGTCCTCTGCAAGGAACAACCGTCGTCAGGTCGCTACAGTCAATAACTGGCGCATAATTTCAATGTAAAAGTTATGTTCCCGGACAGTGACACGGGGCGGTAGAGGGTTGCTCCTCTCAGTGCTCACGGTCAGCCAGAGGAGCTGGAAGCCAAGTAAACAGTGGGAATGATTTTCATATATCAAGTATAACGGCAAATAATGTAATGTAAGAAATAACGGCATACATCAGAGTGAAAGTGCACAGAATATTTAAAATATTTCACACGAGCTCGGATTCTGTTTGAACAAAAAAGTGAACTGTTAACTGTGATCGCAAACGAGTGCATAAACATTATTTGTATTACTGAAACACTCCCTAAAATCACGGGGGATATTGTACCTGTTGAATATTAGTTGCCATGGTTTGATTATTTCATGACGTAAATGAAGAGTTGTACAGTAGAAGTGTAGCACTGGGGGTTAGAACCTTTTATGAGGGCGAGCAAGTTAAGTTATCTGCAGAGCAACAATCGGGTAGAGAATCAATGTGGTACGAACATTCTCTAAAGTAGTAGGATAGCCTCCCCATATGCGTCGTATTGTGAGGTTTTCACACAATCGACAGGGATTTAATTAAAGAACTAATCTAAGAAGCTTTTATTTTAATTATTCATCAAACAAAATTTTGAGTGGCTTTTAATGATTCTTCTTCATAGTAAAGGCGAAAATAGTCAATGAGAACCGAATCCAAAAGTGCAATCTTCAGTATATGGGAACGTGAAGGTGAAGATGGCGGGTTGTTCACTCGATGAAAGAAAGTGGTGACGAATGCGTGACGTACAAATAAATTAAGGCCAGCCAGTCTCGGGTTCGGATACTGTAAAGAAGTGAATTCAAATTATAAATCTTGCGAATGAATTCAAATTATAAATCTTGCGAATGAATTCAAATTATAAATCTTGCGAATGAATTCAAATTATAAATCTTGCGAAACTTTCAACAAAGTATAGTTTAAATAAATGATCAAAATTTCACTTTTGCACGGAAAACACTACGAACCTGAGGTTTAAATGCCCAGTGTGGTAATCACTTTATGAAGGAAGAATGATTGATAGGTTTTGATGCTTTAGAAATTAGAGAAATAGACTTAAGACTAAGGTTTGAATAATGATCTTCGCATGTCACGTAAAGTAAATAACGCACTTCTAGAGCGAAGAACATCAAAAAAGTAGTCGATTTGATTTGAAAGAATTAGCATTTTAATTTAAAGCATGATATTTGAATTTCAGTAAGTTTGATTGTATCCTTAAACTAGGTCCAACTTCCTAACAGATTTGACAAATGAATTTAATAGAGCAAAAATAAATAAACATAACGAAATTCACACGACATTCATACAAACCAAGGGATAGAGAAACAGATTTAAAGTAAGATGGTAGAAATACTTGAACGTTGAAGAAGGTAAGTTGACAATCGGTACGGTTGAATGGCTGATATAAGTGGCAAAACGGCAATGATAACTGCAAAAATGTCAGTCTTTTGAATCTAGTCAAGAATACCGAGATTTCGAGATTTTAACACAGATGTGGTCACTGGCGGCACGTATAATGTGAGACAAACGATAACTGATGCTGATGAGGACTGATAAGATCCGCGGCAGAACCTCTAATTTAGACTACGGGTAATGCTTATTCTTTGGCTGAAGTTAGAGAATCGGATTCTAGAAGTAAGATAATTCGGTTAATAATAGATCTTATAAACAAACCGTAGCATATATACTAATTAACGGTGGGAAATGAGGAATTTCTCACAGTATATAGATCACCAAACAGTCTCTCTGATAATGATAAAGCACTATACAGCCTTTTAAAGAGTCGGACTTTGTAGGTGGGATACGTTGATCGTTGGTGACTTTAACCATCCAGAAATAGACAGAATGAATCCTCTCCAAGAGATGTAAATCACCAAGCATCCTTGTTCTTGGGGTCTGTGCGAGACTCATTTTTAATCCAGAACATCACCAAGTCAGCCCATTTTAGGGATTAAACGACACCAAATATTTTAGATCTAGAGTTTACCAGTGAAGAGTCAATGTCAGATGAGCTCCGCCACGAAGCTACATTGAGTTAAAGCTACCACCAATCAATGTTTTTCAGTATTAGGTGATACACAGAAATTACGTCTGTCCAGTCGTCTTGAACGTTTGAATTAGGCGAAAGGCGATTATGTTAAACTCCGTGATGCATTGAGCGCGGCGAATATTTCGGACTGTATTAAGGACATGATTGTGGCTGATTCATGTTCATTTCTCAAAGACATGGTTATGTCTGCAGTTGATGCGTGTGTACCCAAGATTAAGCTCGGCGGAGTAAAAAAAGGCACAGTGGATAGACAGTGCAGTTATGGCTAAGTTTTTTTAACTTCTGGCAAATTATAACTTTAGGCTGAATTCCACGAGGAGTTTTTTTCTTTTTTTGGCTTTGATGGTCACGTTATGGTTGCCCGTAGGTCGCCATGTGGCCGCTGTAACTGCCATACTTTGGTGGTCACGTTATGGTTACCCACAGGTCGCCATGTGGCCGCTGTAGCAGCCATGCTCCACCACTCTTTGCCATCTATGGTGAAGGTGAACATGGAGGCCGCGGCCCTGAGGAAGGTGCCGTGGGGGGCACTCGTGGCGGCGGCAGAGGGCGTAGAGGTCGACCTATGGCTGTACCGCCCTGACGACTGTGAGCTCCACGACGACCTCCTCCTGCCGCTGCGCGACAGCGGGTAAGAGATAGACGGTGCAGGTATGAACCAGCAGGTGCAGTTGAAAACCTACAGGTGCTGTTAAGAACCTACAGGTGCAGTTAATAACGTGTAGGTGCAGGTAAGAAACTACAGGTGCATGCGAGAAACTGCAGGTGCAAGTAAGAACCATTTAGGTGCAGTTTAGGACCCGAAGGTGCAATAGGAACCCTTCAGGTGCAGGTAAGAATCTGCAGGCGCAATTAAGAACACTGTAGGTGCAGGTAAAAACCCAGCAGGTGCAAGTAACTATCATGCAGGTGCAGATGAGAACCATGCAGGTGATGCCGTCGATGTTCTCGGGTTCAACCATCAGGACGACGAAAGGAATACAGGAGGGTGAGGGATAGAGGGGAGGAGCAGGCGGGGGGAGCTTCTTGGCGAATGCCGTGAGTGGCAAACTCGTGCCTGCACACCCACACCCCCACCCCCGCCCCTACACCCATAACACCTTACAACCACATCTTCACAACTCCACACCCCGACTTCCACCACCCCTTTTCTACCACAAACCCCTGCCCCAATTCTCCACCTTTACACCTTAACCCCTACCCACCACATCCTCCTGCCCGACCATCAGGCGTTACTGGGGTAGCTGAGATCGATTGCTGGTCCATTACAATGGATTGCTGGTCCTTTACAATGGAGTGCTTGGCCATTACAATGAATTGCTGGTCCATTACAATGGGTTGCTGGTCCATTACAATGGATTGCATGGCCATTACAATGAATTGCTGGTCCATTACAATGGATTGCTGCTCTATTAAAATGGATGGCTTGACCATTACAATGAATTGCTAGTTCGTTACAATGAATTGCTGGTCCATTACAATGGTTTGCTTGACCATTACAATGAATTGTTGGTCCATTACAGTGGATTACCGGTCCTTATCTTATGACCTTATAAAGAGTTTGGGACTTCCTAGTCTCCGGTCACGCTGATGCGCCGCCTTCGTTGTTCTCCGTCTCCAAGTCGTCGCTAGGCAGGTCACCCTGCCCTCGGGTTCCGGATGTAACGTTGGACGTATTCCGCATATTTGCCCTCCTTTGCGCAGCTGGTGCAAAATGCTGTTGTTTGTCACTTCCTGAGGGTAGTTTTCCATTACTGGACAATTCGGGATCTTTCTCAAACAATTTTCCAGTCGTCTCTTGAATGTTGCAAGGGTGAACTTCTCTCCTATCAGAACTTTTGGCAAGGCATTAAAGAGCCTCGGTCATGCCAAGGACAGTGATTCCTAACGATGAGTCTGTACTCTGGCCGCGGCTCGGTTATTAAATGGGGGAATCCTGCACCGTCTCCCCCTCCTTTCGTGGTAATATGTCTCTATTCTGCAGGTCTCACTCTCAAAGTTGGTAGCCAGTCCGGTTATTATCTTCCAAGTGTACTGTATGATATACCTCGTTTTTCTCCTCTTCAGTGAGTACAGTCCAGGGTGTTTCAGCCTTTCCCAGTAGTTCAGGTCCAGCTCCTTCATGCCGCTGATCCTGTACGTGAAGGTCTGCTGCACCGCCTCCAGTTTCCGCACCGCACCCGCCTTGAGTGGCGACCAAAGTTAGCAGCAATACTCAAGATTGGGGAGCACGAGGGCTCTGAAGAGTGTAATCACTGTCTCTTATACACATCTAGATGTGTATAAGAGACAGGTCATGTGACAGGAATGTTACCTGCTGTCACGTGACAGGAATGTGACCTGCTGTCACGTGACAGGAATGTGATCTGTCTCTTATACACATCTAGATGTGTATAAGAGACAGGTGTAGGCCACCATCAGAGGCGTTAAGGTCGGGGCCCTGATCATTGACATGAAACCATTCCCTGTTTTTAATTAATAAAATCAATTCTTTTTTTGTTGGAATGGTGAGTGTGGGAGGCCTTAAATTAAAAAAAATCAGCAATTCATGCTGCGGGTGACTATTTATTAGGAGTGGGCATCGAACGTGGCTTCGGTACTCACCTACACTCCGTCGCGTGTGAAACACGAGTTTATTTATTCAGAGAAATTTTTATGTCCCTGCTAGTGGCAACATCTTTTAATGCGTTTTCGGGAGCTTTTGCAAATAAAAAAGTTAACGTTGAACTAGCCCGAAGCAACATTGTCGTAAGTTTTTAAGAGAAGTGATGATGTATTTATTGCTTTGTTCATTTTTATTTTAAACGACCTTGGCTTGTGAATAGTGAAACAATAGAAGGGAAATGTAGCTTTTAGAATTGATTCCTGTTTTCTGGTTCCTTGCAGTTTTAACAAATATATACAGCCAAATCCTGGTGGCTGTAACTCCACCTACAGGAGAAGATTTTATTATTATCGAAGTATGCGGCACAACACTCCTAGATCTCGAACTAGTTTGCTTCTCCTCAATTTCTGTGCATCTGATGCCATGTAGCGATGTGGCATCCCGATCTCTCTGCGGATTCTGTAATTCATTACTTAGACTTTGGTGCAGTTGAACTGCATATTGTTCACTGGGGCCCAATCGTAGATTGTCGAAAAGTCATCCTTCAAACCTGTAGGTCATCTGTGATCTTCATCTGCACTCTTGTATCGTCCGCAAATGACGATGTAGATGCATATGTAAACTCCGAGTCGCTATCAGCAATGTGGATGAGAAAGAGGATCGGCTTAAGCACTGAGCCCTTTGGAACTCCGCTTTTCACCCTCGCTTCTCTCGATTCCGAGTTTTCAATTGCCACAGCTTTTACTCTCTCTGGCTTCCTCCTACTCCCAACAGCCTCAGCTTTCTAAAGAGCACTCCATGGTCAACTTCGTCAATAGCTTTTGCAAAGTCTAGGTAAATTACGTCCACGCCAGCTCCCTCCTCCAGTTGAGCCAACAGGCGGTGATGGTGCTCCAGTAACTGTGACAAACTGGAACGATTCCGCCGGAAACCATGCTGTCCATTATTATACTGTGCAGCCTCTCCCATATACTGGACCAGCCTCCAGTCCCCTACCTTCTCAAAAACCTTGATCACATATCAGCAAGGTCGCAGGTCTGTAATTTTGATGTCTGTCTCGCGGACCGCCTTTGTTAATTGGCGTTATCAGTCCCACTTTTCGGCCGTCAAGAATATTTTCTACCGTCATCGAGGCTTTCCAGAGCATTGTGAGCGGAGCCTTCAGTGCTTTAACACAATTCATATGCGAGGTCAAGGTCACAGGTTTGTAATTTTGGTGTCTGTCCCTCAGACAGCCTTTGTGGATTGGCGTTATCAGTCCCACTTGTAGGCCCTCAGGAATAATTCCCTTCGTCATCGAGGCTTTCCAGAGCATTATGAATGGAGCCTTCAGTGCTGCAACACAGCTCTTCAGCAGCACTGCCGGAATTCCATCGGGTCCTGGCGCTAAAAACGTCACCAGTGCTATGATACTTATTTCCATATCTTCTGGTCCAAACTTAATTGTTCTCCAACCCTCTTCCGTCTGGCAGCTCCTGGAGAACTCCACTTTCATTCTCTTCCCTTGAGTAGCGGGGGCTGCCGAACACTGATTCAAACTGTGATCCCAGTAACTCACACATGCCACGGTCATCTCCGACAATGACTCCGTGACTCCGTTACCCTTAAGCGGGCCCACTTGCGTCTTTATTTTAGCCATGGAATGGACATTTTTAAAATAATACTTAGGGTTCTCTCTGATGACCTTAACCACTCGCTCTTTAGCGGCTTGTTCTTCCATCCTATGCGAGTCCTGCAGCCTGCAGGGTTCGATTTCCTAGTGCAAATCTACCAGCTTCAGTCTCCTCATATCACTAGTGGATTCAGCTATTCGTTTATTTTATCGCTTGCGTTTCTCATTAAGGCTTCGTCGGCTTCTCGTAATGCTGCGGACTTTTGGGCCTGTTTTTCTCGGGGTATGACGCCCACATACCTGGGCTAGTTTCTTACACAGTTTTGTGTAGATTTTCTCTGCATTCATCTCGTGAAACTCAACTCTCCAATTGATTTCGTCAATTTCATTCAAAATTGCCACCAGATCAGTTCTTCGATTGTGGAAGTTAAGTCCTGCCAGTTCCTCTTCGGGTATAGACCTGGTGCAATACTTTCAAAACTCTCTAAGTGAACGTAAGTACTTATGCTCTATTTCTTGTCTATAATTGGTGGATTTTGCTTGAAAGGCCGTCAATGATTGGCTGATGAATTACGATCTCTTAACTCTTTTTGAAAGTATAGGCCCTGGGCTGGTTTTCAATTCCAATTGTCGTTTCCACCATCACTAAGCGATGGTCAAACAGTGAGTTCTCGTCAACCCAAACGTCAACCACCATTCTTTCATTATTAGTATAGAAGAGATCTAGAATATTGTGTCCCTTTAACGGCAGTCGTACTTGCTGACTGAGCATGTGTTCCGCTGCAAACTTCACAAGTTGGGCTTCTTGACTTGTGTCACGGTCGTCGACCTCTAAGCCGATAGGGCTTGTTCAACTGATTCGTGGGAGATTGAAGTGCTCCCAATTAACAGGCTGGGTGCTGGGTCACCTAGTTCAGCCACCCCGGCCTTTATTTCATTGAGGGTTTTGTTAAAATTTTCCGGTGGACAAGCAGGAGGTCTATAGACTAGGACTAAGCACAGGTCAAATTTTTTTTAAGTGGAGGAGCACGTGTTCAACAAAGCCGTCTGAGTTTCCAGATTTTGATCTCAATTCTACAGTGCTTCTTGCGAAGAAGCAAGAAGCACTGTCCTTCTTTCTCCCTTCCTTCCGGTCCACACGGTAGTGTTGGAATTCATCAATTGCAATTTCTGCATCGAGGATCTCTTTCCTCAGGTGCTCGTTAGTGCAATCATGAAGAACCCACCCTCGACGGCCATCTCTCTCAGCACGCCAATCTTGTGGCGCGCTTTTTGTGGGAAGAGCCTCTCTATGTTAGCCAACAGAATGCCAGACTCTTCCCTTCTTGATGTTCTTACCTGCAGCGGCACAGTTCTGCCAGGTGCCCCTGGTTTAGCAGCCCCTGCATCTGGAATTGCATTAGTGAAGGGATGA